GGGATCAGCTGTAGCAGTGGGCAGTAGAGGACTTACACAAGGAGGTAATGAAGCGGCTGTAGATATACCTGATGAAGAAGAAACAGTAGCATGTGGCAACCATGAGTCAAAAATACTCATTGTATGCGGTTGTTCTGTTGCAATACAAGACGTGTTAGTAGGTCTATATGGAAAAATCAATTCGTCAAATACAACATGACGTGATATAAAAATTTTTTTGCTTGAAGGATGAAAACATTTATATGCCTTATACGTGTCGCTATATCCTACAAAAATACAGAGAACCGTTTTTGGGTCAAATTTATTTTTTCTTGTATCCCAAGTGTATGGAAAACATTTAGACCCAAAAACTCGAAGTGACGAATAAACTGGATGCGTTCCATGAAGCATGAAATAAGGTGTTTGAAAGTTAAGAGCAGATGATGGTAGACGATTCATAAGATATACGGCCGTAGTAAAAGCTTCTGTCCATAAAAATAAAGGTGCACCACAGTGAAATAACATGGTCATTCCTAATTCTCGTATAGTCCTATGACGTCTTTCAACCACACCAGTTTGTTCGGGAGTATAAGGAGAAGATACCTGATGAACAATACCTGAAGAGCGAAAGTGAGTCGATAATTTGGAATTGATGAATTCACCACCTCCGTCGGAATGAAAGATTTTGATTTTTTTATTAAACTGCCTAAAGACATACTTTTCAAAAGTAATATATGCATCAAAAAAATCAGATTTATTTCGTAAGGGGATAATCCACGTATATTTGGAAAAATCATCAACCAAACAAGCATAGTATCGAAACTTTCCAATCGATAAAACAGGGGCAGGTCCCCATAAGTCACAATGATTTTTTTCAAAAATACTAATGCTTGAATGTTTTGAACAAGAAAAAGGTAAACGACTAAGCTTTCCTAGTTGACAACTATCACACAAATTTTGTGATTTTGTTGTCCCTAAGTGAAGATATTAATATTAAATGATACATTTCACTAACAGCTTAAGCTTTTGGTTGAGATGGTCATTCAACATGGTATCAGAGTCAGGCCAAATGAAAGGTCATGAGTTCGAATCCCACAGCCACCAATTTAAAAAATATTTCAAGTGCAAGGCTTCAAATGTAATTCCCCTGCACTTGAGGGGGCGAAGTGAAGATATTAATATTAAATGATACATTTCACTAACAGCTTAAGCTTTTGGTTGAGATGGTCATTCAACACCTACGACATCAATAAGTCCTTTATTTTTAAGCATACTTAAAACTGAATATTGGGGATGGCCTAGGCGTTGGTGCCAAACTTCTGCAGTACTGGATCTAAAACGATGAGAGAAATACAGTTCCGGAAAAGTGGGCAAGACATAAAGATCACCCTTGCGTTTCCCAGTGATCATTGGTCGACCTGTTGCCCGATCCTTAACACAAAAATCAACATTAGAAAACTCACAATTAACTGGAAATTGAGTTGTTATTTGGCTGACTGACAATAAATTTTTTGTTAAGTTTGGAACCAACAAAACATCATTGAGAGGCAAGGTAATATTTTTTTGTCGTAAAGAAGAATCACCAGTTGCAAGAATTGGCATAGAAGAACCATCTCCTATTAACACAAAATCAGCACCAAAATGTGTACGGATATTTGTTAACATACCTGGTTTACCTGTCATATGGTTGGAGGCTCCGGTGTCCGTGGTCCATTCCGTGTCTGCAATGGTATTATCCAATGTAAGAGCTGCAAGTGCCTGTGGAATTTCATTCCTTTGAGTGGAATTCTTTGGCACCCACCAACATATCTTAGCAATGTGGCCCATCGCCCCACAGTATTGGCATTGTTGATCGCGGAATTTTTCCCTTTCCGCAGATGTCATTCGGCGTTCGCCTGGTGGTGGAGGTCGTCGTTGGAGATTTGCAGAAGACGAATTGCCATGGTTGGAGTCTCTTTGTTGTTGTGCCTGAAAACCACGTCCATTGGAAGTGAATTTCCGTGATGAGCCACGATAGCCTAATGAATTTGATTTTGAGTATCGCTGTTGTTGTCCATAAAAAGCCATTTGAGGGTGGACAGTAGGAGTTGGGCCATCCGTCTGGTTGGAGAACCAACTACGCCTTTGATCAAAATTCTGGAGTTGAGATACCAATTCTGAGTATGCAGGCCTCGGAGGTTTCAACATAGTTGTGGTAAAAACTTCATATTGTGGGCCAAGACTTGTGAGAAGGCAAAAAACCTTTTCTTGATCTGGAACAGGTTTTTCGATAGCCGCTAAGTTGTCACAGAGAACTTTGAATTGGCTAATGTGTTCGGTGATTGTTGTGTGATCCTCCTTTCGAAGATACGTTATTTGTTGCCGTAGTGTGAATTCACGTTCTTGTGATTCTTGGGCATATGCATTTTTTAGGGCCTCCCACACTGCATAAGCTGTGTCGAGACCAACAACAAGTCCAAGACTTTCCTCTGTGAGTGTTCCAATAATCCACCCTCGAAGTAAACGGTCAGATTTTCGCCAGGCTATGAAGGCTTCCGTTAACTGTGGAGTGGACGGAGGTGTGGACTTTTCTGCATCTTTTAAGTTGTCTGGATTCGGAGTTTTAAATTTGGTAGGGGCAGGATCTTCGTTTGTGAGATGCCCCACCAACTCTTGACTTTCGGCAAGAGCTAAGGCTTGTTCTCGCCACAAGGGGTAATTGTTTGGAGTGAGTCGGAGAGTAATAAAATTACCAACGTTCAATGATAAGGTAGCCATATCGAAGGAAAAATTAAAGGTAAGACAGGAGAGAGTATTGAGGTGAATCTATAATCGTTGCCTAGTGTTCACACTGGCTCTAGATACCATAAAGAAAAGAGAGAAACAGAGAGTAATTTTCATAAGAGAGAATAATATTAAAAAAGCTTTTCTTTATTGCTGTATGTTTTTTTTCACCGTGAACAAATAGGCTTTAGATATGGTATTTAAATACAATAGACAGGAATCCTATATAACTATGAATCCTTGATTTGCCTTATCTAAGTGAGTTATCATCTTGGGTTGAAGTTGTTGCCGTAAGGTCTCCAAGTTCACCCAACTTCTCTCCTCTTATTGTGGGTAAATCACGAGAGTCTTCATCCTTATCTCTCCAAGAGTTTTGATCTTCCTTATCTCTCCATCGACTCCCGTGATTATTAGATACGTTGCTAATAATTTTCATTAATTAAAGAGTAATTTTCATTAATTACAGAGTGGTTTTCGTAAATTGATAAGTTTTTAGTGATTTTTTGTCATAGAACTTGTTAATTACATAGTGGTTTTCATTAATTATAGAGTGATTTTTGTTAATTGATAAGTTTTTAGTGAATTTTTGTAATGAAATTTTCTAATTACATAGTTTTTTGTTAATTTACAGAGTGGTTTTCATTAATTATAGAGTGGTTTTTAATTACGTAGAGATTTTCGATAGGTTTATAATGGATTTTCGTAACAAAATACTACTATCATTACATAGTGGTTTTTGGTAAATTTACAGTGGATTTCAATTTGTTAAAAACAATTTTTTTTTTTAAATTTAACTTTAAAAAAGAGATGTATAAAAAAAATCATTTAAATTTTTTTTAAAAAAATGATAAAACTTAAAACATAAAAAATAAAATAAAAATCCAATTAATTAATTAATTAATTGGAAGGAGAAAGTAGCGTGATACATGAGAGAATAGGGGGTGGTGGGGAGAAAATGGGGGGATTTGCATATCTACAAAAGAAATAATGGATTTTTTAAAATAATATAATATGGAAATTTTCAATATTAAATAGGGGCATTTTGGATAATTCGAGCCAATTGGGTTTATAACAAATATCAATTAAAAAAATTGGATTTATTAAGAAGTCAAAATTCAATGAGTGGTGTTTGACAAACAGCCCCTAAATATAAAGTCATGAGAAAAAAGAAATTGAATAATAGTTCAATTTTGACAAACAAAACACAAAAATATATTAAATATAAATAAAATAAAAAAATAAAAAAATAAAACATAAAAGAGAGAGAAAAGAAAAAAAGAAAACAAATATTTGCCCAGAATCCTCTTCTTCAGTCATCTGTCTCTCTGTGTTGCTTGCTTTTCCTCCATGGCAGCAGAACAGAGGATGTTCTTCTCAAAAAAATAAGACATCTGTGCCGCCACCTCTGCTCCGCCGCCGCCGCACCACCACCACCACAGCCGAAGTCCGGCGCGATCCGCCACAGCCGCACCACATGTCCCAGAAGAAGACTAAGCTTAACTGATCCAACGGTTCCCCCACTCCGGCGCGATCCTTGTTGCTGACTAAGCTGCTATTTTTTTTCCTAATTAAAAGATATAAGAAAATTAAAATAAAAGTTCAAAATTATATTGTTTTCTAGCCCCAAAACAACTATAAATTTTAATTTTGGCCCCATAACTGTATTTTCCGTTCACATTTGAACGGTCAACTGACCGGTGAACTAAATGTGTCTAAAAATGGTAAATTCAATTCACCTCGGAACATGGGGACAATAAGTGGAATCGGGATAAACATTAGTGATGAAAAATGTAATTCCCCCGAGAGAGAGATTGTTGTTTTGCAAATTAAGGCAAATTACGAGAAAACCTCTGAGGCAAGGTCTAATTAAAAATTCCCCCTTATGTTTGCATAATTACAAAAAAATTCATGAGGTATGTTGTCGTCTTACACATTAAGGGCCCATTTGACCATACTTATTTTAAACAACTGATGCGCTCTTACGCCTAAATAGATGTTTTAACAGCTGATAAGTTTCAAAAGTGTTAAAATTGCGGACTAAATTCGTGATCGCGAAAGTTTGAGGACTAAAATTATTTTAGGTGGCAAGTATAGGGACGGAAAATGTAATTATCCCGGAATAGAACCTTCTATTTTGCCAAAGCAATTGACATAACTTGGAAGTGCAATAAGAACCATCACCCAAAAGCAAAACAACCACAACCTCATAAATACACAAATATACAAATAAACAAAGAAGAAAAAAAACTTGGTGCCCCTTACATCGTAGCGCTCTCGGCAACCGGTTGGGAAACCCTACGTTCGATGCGTCGGGGCTCATGCTGTTCGCTGCGTCGGGGCTCATGCTGTTCGCTGCGTCGGGGCTCGTGCTGTTCGCTGTTCGAGTCATCGTTGTCCCATCCAGTATAAAAACTGTGTGGCCCCCTTACTGGAAATTTTGTGTGATACTTGTTTTGTTTAATGGAACCGACTTTCACTCTAGAGTCGTCATAGAGTGTAATAGATGGTACGTGACAAACTTTGCGATAATCTTCTCTTGGTTCATCGTTGACCACTCGTAATCTATCGTTGAACTCTTTGGGCATAAACACAGAATTTAATTCTTGGAGGGAAGTGATATATCTCAATCCATGAGGAATCATCTCCAATCTCTCGCACAAACTAATCTGCAAACGAGAAAGATTGGGCATTGCTCCTTTATCCACCACCCATCTCTCTAAATTGGATAAGCAATGGAGGTTAAGAAACTTGAGTTGTGGAAATGAAGTTGCAAGGCACCTTATTTCTGCTTTGGTGAATTTTAACTGGGACAAGCTAAGCCTTTTTAACAAGGGAAACTTTCCCAATATTCTCATTAAAGAATCACCCTCAATTGTACCACCCTCGTAAAGAGAGAAGTCGATCAAATTTGCACACATCCATTGTTGATAGCGTGGCAAACTGATACATGTAGAGTTGTTGAGTTTGAGAGTGGCGAGTGAGGGAGACATCAACATCTTCCTTAAATTTGTATAGTTCGATCCTCTCTTTGGATTGAAGTCGCAATTCGAAATAGAAAGATGTGACTCGCGTAGTTGGGTATTTCTGCAGCTCATGCGTTGGGCAATGATTGAGAGGTCAACATTACTGCCAACTTCAATTTTCAGATTTACCAAATTTGTTAATCTGGGGATGTCCGCAAACCGAACACATGAAGGATGCGACTCATCTTGTAAGGTCTCCAACTCCTCCAACCCATCCAGAATCAGTTGGTCTCCATATTCTCCAACGACTTGTATCCCTTTGAGAAGCAGATGCTTCAATCTTTTCATCTTACAAATCACATTCGGCACCTTTATTTGCATTGTCGTTCTCAAATCCAACGTCTGCAGATACGGCAAGTTGAAAACCGACAATGGTAGCTCTTCCACACAACTCTTATACAAACTCAAGTATCTCAGATGGATTAGATTACCTACCTCGTTAGATAATATAAATTCACCATTTTCCAGAGCAAGAATCCTGAGACGTTTCAACTTGTTGAAATCGATTGCACTGCCTTTAGAACCAATCACTAGCAATCTACGGCGCCATCCTTTACAGAGGAATAGAAAAGATCTCAGGTTCGTTTCTTCTCCCTTGTTGAAATAGTTATTATCCACGTGTGCAGTTCCATCACAATGAATGGCTAATCTGCTCGCAACATGGATAGGAGCATAATTTGTCTCATCAATGAGCTTGAGAAAACCTTTTTCCTTTCCCTTTGACAAACAAAGATCGCGGATCAGATCATGAAGGCGGCACGATTTGAATGCATTATACGCACTGGAACAATACTCATGCTTTCGTACTTGAACCATACATCGAGATGCTAGTTCATTCAAATAACGTTCGGCCACGTCCCTCAAAGTTTCTTTTCTTCCTTTTTCTTCAGAAGAAATAAGGCCTTCCGCCATCCACAATAAATACAATCTTTCAGTATCTATTTCTTGATCCTCGGGGAAACATCCTAAATAGAGGAAGCACGGCTTCAAATAGTAAGGTAAGGCATCGTAGCTCAAGTCCAGTACCTGTTTCACTTTTTCATCCCCACGCTTCAAATATAAATCAACATCTTCACTGACCCTCTTCCACTCGCCCGATGTTTGTTTTTCGCACAAAATCCCCCCAAGAACTGTAATTGCTAGTGGTAGACCGCCACATTTTTGGACCATTTGTTTTCCAATAGCTTCTAGTGGACTTTGCTCCGTTTCGGGCTCGGCATTGTGATACACTTCAGGTAGGCTTTCATCAATCTCAAGCTTGGCACTGTGGAAAGAGCCATCCTCTAAACTTTGTTCAGTTTCTAGCGGCTCTGCATGATGGAAGACCAAGACAGCTAGTTACATAGTTTAAGACTTCCCAATAAGAACATGAAGATATTCAAGGTTAGAATCCAATGTGCATTGAGCACATATTTATTTAAATTGCCAAACAATTTATTATGTTATTTTAAATAGTATAAATTTATGTATAACCAAATTAAAGACGTATAGACTCCTTAAAGCTCATCGTTTTAACTCATTCACGGAGTTCGTGACTCTCATTGTGATTTTTAAAGGAAATAATACAAATGCCCTTCGACAACGATTACAAATGAGTTATACAAAACGTCTTAAAAAAAATTCCAATTCCTGAAAATCCCTAAAAAAAATTATAAATATTATTAAGAATTTTAATAAACAAAAACAAAACAAAATATTTAAAGTTTAGGAACCCACCATAATCTTATTAATAGAAGTAAGGTTGCTCCTCATAAACCTTCAGAAAATTTTCCCGCTCATTTGATAGTTATAATTGTCATTTATTTGCTAAATTATCTATTGTGCTAATTATATTTATGGATGTAACGTCTTTATATAAATTTGAGCCCAGTTTCATCGGCATTCCTTGAGATTTAATGGCATCATTGATTTACAATTTATTGATGCTTGTTATGGATGATAAAGAAGAAGGTTTGTAAGACTTATATCTTAACTGAGATAAGGTAAAAATATACAGCACATATAACTTTAAAAATATAAATATAAACTAATAAATATGGGAAACATTTATAGATAGGGATTTATCATTAATACATATAGCAAAACATCAAAATGAATTAAAATCTCTATTTTGTCGTTTAAATTGAACTTTACTTTGTGTTAATTTTACTCCTACCACGTGCATCGCACGGGCCAAAAATCTAGTTACTTTATAAAAATATAATACACTTTCACCCGTCGGCGCTAGACACGGCAACGGGCCGGGTTTGACCCGGACCCGGCCCGGAGACCGCCCCGATCCACTCCGGCCCCGTTGACCATGGACCCGACCAAGTATGGGACCGCCCCGATCCACTCCGACCCCGTTGACCATGGACCCGACCAAATACGGGTCGGTTTCGGGTCCCGATTATTTGGACCCGAGACCCGACGGGTCAATCCGGATTTTATGTGAAATAATGACAAAAAATGAGGAGTTTGGGGGTTTGAAGCTGGGTGGCCGAAGCAATTTAGTAGAGTTCTAACCACTCAAGCGAAGTTACTTATTGTAATACTAATCCTAACTATAGATATATAAATATAAATAACACTCTAAATTGATTATAATAATTGTATAACTAATGTTAATAAATTATTAATTGTCATGTTCACTATTATTAATATTAATTTTTTTTACTAATAACAAATTCATATATATTTAATTTTGATAAATATAAAATATTACGGTTTAGTTTAAAAGAAAGATTGAAATTTGATTTTTTTTAAATTTTGAAAATTTGAAAAATTTCTCAATTATTATTTTCACTTATAAATACCCCTAATCCAATCTTCACAGCTTTCATTTTATTTAGTTTATGTCTCAAAGTCTTAATCGTTTCATTTTTTTCTACAATTGTTTAGTGTTTAAATTCAACTTTTTTTTTTTGTTATTTTGAATTTAAATTTAATCTCAAGTTTTTACAAGTTTCAATTTAAGTTTTTTTTTCTTTCTTGTAATTATTTGGAAAAAAAAAAGAAAAAAAAATTGGAAAATCAGTTTGGACCCGGACCCGGCCCGGACCCAGGTGGACCCGCCCCGGACCCGAACCCGCTTCCCCATGGGGAAAATAAATCCACCTCATTCAAATTTATTTGCAAACAAGGAAAACTCTTTTATATATACCAAATTACCCCCTACTCCTTGAAACTCTAATTCAACATCATTTACATGATTTACACCCTAATTTAGCACAATTAAACCAATTTTGACCATTATTCTAATTTTGACCCCAATTTTGACCGCCACCGCCGGAGACTGCTGGTATCCGGCGTTGACCTTTTCTTTTTTCTTGAAACCAATTATTTTCATTAATATTATTGTCTTGGCATGCAATACTACTGTCTCGGAGACAGTAATATTATTGTCTGGGAAAGTAATTTAACGATATTAATTAATTTTATTGTCTTGGTCTGCAATTTTGCCGTCTCCGTACGTAATATTACTGTCTCGTGCATTAATATTACTATTTGGGACATTAATATTAGAAATATTACTGTTTTCGCATTCAATATTACTATCTCAGACAATAATTTAGAGAGAGAAATATTAAAAAAGAAAAGGAAAAAGAGAAAACAAAATCAACGCCAGAGAACCGCGCGGTCAACATTGGAATTTGGCTGGAAGAAAAGTTTCAGAAAATTATTTTCTAAAAAAAAACTAAAATAATATCTCGATGGAATTGATGAAAATTATATTATGAGGGGCATTAATGACATGGGAATGAGTTTATTTGCGAGACTGTTTTTTGTCTGAACCTATGTGCATTTAAGTCCCTTATCATTATCATGGACCTATTTGCCATTTGGCCATGTATAATGAATATTTAGTAAATGAAAAGTAGATACGGATATCAAATTATGTTTTCTTTCAATAGAATATTTCTATTAAGTACACGAACCCCCAGAAATGTTGTTAACTAACTAAAATGAGTAAACTGCAAAAAGTACCCCTGTGTAATCTATAAATAGTGAAAACCCTCCTATGATAAATAAACTAGCAAAAACCCCTCTGTGAAATTATTTAAATAGCACACTCGGCCCATTTATCATTTGATTGTTGACTTCATATAAAAAGACACAAATACCCCCGGAATTTTGCAATTAATAAATTCTTATATTTTTTAAATATTTTATTTATTTTATTTTTGTTATATCTTAATTATAAAGGTACAATGGGGTCTTTAATTTATTTTTATTTTTACTATCACATAATTTTTGTATATATTTTAAATTATTGCTACATCAAAAGAAAATTTAAATTCCATAATTATGTATTTAAAAAAATCTATACTTAATTTGATTAAATTTTTTTTAATAATTTTTAAATTTAATTATTTACTATGTTTTAACAATATTTTAATTTCTAAACAATCAAATTAAAAGGAAAATATATATACATATACTATATATACATATAAATACATTTTTAGGGTCAATTTCGTCATTTCACGTCCAAAAACCTACTACCAGTCGCGCAACCCGCGAGTGAGCCACACTTAAGTCAACCGGGGGTGTTTTTGCCTTTGACTAAATTTCATAGGGGGGTTTTTGCTAGTTTATTTATCACAGGGGGGTTTTTGCTATTTGGAGATTACACAGGGGTACTTTTTGCAGTTTACTCTAACTAAAATTTATTCGACTTAAATTTACACATGTAGGCTGTAGCTTCTACTAATATCAAACTTGACTGAAAATATATTCTAGTGTTTCTAATATAAGTGTTTTCAACAGTAGGATGAAAACAGATATGTCGATGAATGCAAAAAATTAAGCAATAATGCAAGATATCAAATACAAAATAAATAATGTTCGAGGTCGGATGGCAGAAACTGACCTCTGGTAGTGGTAAATGCTAGTTTCTGAAGTAACTCCCAACCTTCATCTTCAGCCAGAAAACGGAGTTCGTAAAGACAAAATTTTCGCGGAGAAACTTCTCTGTTGCGAGTGGTAAGTATAACCTTACATTTATCACCCGCTTTCGGAAAAGCTGGCTCCAAGATGTTCCAATGACCGGTCTCCCAGATATCATCAATCACAATGAGGCATCTCTTCTGCATTAGAAAATTATGAAGTTTCACCACCACCTCAGCGAGTTCCATGTCGTTGATCCGTTCATTCTCTTCATCAAGAAGAAGTTGCTTCAGAATTTGGCTTAAAACAATCTTGGGTTGAAACTGTTGTGTACTGCAAACCCAGGCACGAGCTTCGAAACAAGGTACCACCTTCTTGTGATGGTAAATTTTCCTGGCAAGAGTGGTCTTCCCAAGGCCTCCCATTCCATAAATTGCAATCATGGGAATCTGTTTATTCTTCACCAGTGAAACCAGAGACGCTATGTCCTTCTCCATACCAACAAAATGTTGTTCAGAGTCGTGCTCGAAAGCTAGTCTCGAGTAATGTTGGTGATCGTCCGTTGGATTCGAGGATCTCCCACCGGGGACTATTGTTTGCAACCTCCCCGTCAGAATGGTCAGGCTGGATCTAATGGCTTCAATCTCCTCTCCAACCTCATGGCTTGTTAAGCACTCGCCGAATATGCAACCGAACCTTTTCAACTTTTTCATCAGGTTTCCACCTCTTCTGGATGTGACTTCAATAGCATATCTTTCGAGCACATACTCAGCTCTTGAAGCCAGTTCATCGAGCTCATCGATCCAATCACCTAAGATTGCAGCCTTGTGTCTGTCTCGCCATTTGTCAGCATCCATCAAGATGCAATGGATGGTTTTGAGATCCCTCTCGACTTTCTTAACTTCATCGCTTACACCGTATAAAAACCTGCCTTCTTCAATCAGCAAATCACGAAGTGTTTCCAGAGACAATTGAATCGCCATTAACTTTGATTTTGGACAATATACTCTATAAGAGTTTTGAAGTGTTTGGATGCATATGTGATTCTGCTTTGGCTTCTTAAACAAACAACTTATTAATGTTTAGCAATAGCCTACTTGTGAATTTTTTAACAAGTCAACATAATTATGTCAAATATTACCAATTCTCAACAATTGACATTTCCTTAGTATTTAATACATACTAATTACTAATTTATTGATTATTCATAATTAGTCTTTTTCACAATATTAACACAGTTATTGCTCACTATGCATATCAATAAATTAGTTATGTAAGAAATCAACCGTTCCAAAGATAACAACATGAACAAAATAAAAAGTAAGAAAATAAACTACCAAGTACCAAGCAAATTTGCACCATTTGTGTTTTTGGTCTCCTTTTGACACCTTCTCTATCAAAAAATTATCAAAAGAAATAGATAGAGGATCGAGTCTCGACAAAGATCGTGGAAACAACACACTGGCAACACATAGCAGAAATTGCAAGTTTACATCTATCGTGTGACCAACACCAGCCCCAAAGAATTAGCATAATCATTTTATTGAATCAGTTCACATTACATGTACGCACCTGTTTTTGAAAATATATGAAGAAAAAATTAGTTAAATAAAGGCATACAGGCTGGACGAATGAAACAGCATCAATGAATACCAATAATGGAGAAAACAATTACAGAAATGCAACAACAGCTGTAGAAAACCAAAAAAAGTATATATATATACATACTATTCTGAAGCAAAAAACACTTGCAAATGATGTGTATATATTGAGTCAGAACTCAAATCCGTGTACTGAAACGGAACATCATCGACATCAGGGGCGGAACCAGGATCAAAATACAGGAGGGGCTAACTAAAATTTTGGGGTACGGGGCAGCGCCTCGAAAAAAAAATTTAGGTTCACAAGACAGCAAAAATAAGTTTATATTGATAACTTTTTAATTAAAATAACATATATATTATAGTTTTATCATATTTTAAGCATGACAAAAAAATCTTAATGTATTGCACTTAAATATTTTGGAGATTAATGGCATCATCTCATATTATTTTTAAGAGACACTGATAAAAAAATTCCAAAATAAGTAAATATTCATAAATATTATATAAAATAATACAAATTTTAACCTTTTTATCAAATATTTTTATATTAAATATGATGTCTACAAGTATAATCTATATAAGATTGTGGAGAAGAAACGGAATTAAGGATTAAGACACATATTTACAAAAACTTTAGAGGGCCAAATGTAATATTCAAAAAATAAAATGCCAAAATACCTTAAAAAAAAATCTTTTTATCTTGGGGGGGCAACAGCCCCCCTGCCCCTTATAAGTTCCGCCCTTGATCGACATAAGCAGAAACAGAAAAATAAATAAAAAAGGGTGGAA